GTGCCAGTCAGCTTTCGTATGAGCCCACTTTTTCCTTGAAGTTAAGGCAGTGCTTCTTGTAGATCAGAGAACAGTCCAGGGCAACTCCCAGCTATTTGCGTGTGCTGCAATGCTCCAGTGGGATTCCTTCCCAGGTAATCCTCAGAGCTCGAGTTGTTTGTCTGTTCTTAAGGTGAAAAGCACATGTTTGTATTTTAGATGGATTAGGAATCAGCTGGTTATCCCTGTAATAGGCAATAAGAGTACCTAGAGCTTCGGAGAGCTTCTGTACCACCATCTCAAAACTCCCTGCTTGAACAGTGATGGCATAATCGTCAGCACAGAGAGACATGAGGGAACATGAGAGAAGCCTCCCCGCAGGATTGCAAGACATCTGTGCATCCCCTGGGCAATGTCTTCGTAGACGGCTGATTCTCCCACTCCAGAAGCGATCAGATGCTAACGATTAGGTCTGCTAGGAAACTACGATTAATTACCAGATATTGTACATGATATTTCAGAGGAAGGAGATGGCAAAATACCTATATATATTACTTGCCTAAGAAAACCTTATAAAATTCATGAGATTGCTATGAATCAACAGGTGACTTGAAAGCACATACATATATGCAACTATGTCAATCTCTTTTAAGAAAATAGCTTACCTTGGCAAATCTTAAAGGCTAACCATTTTTTTCATGGCCTGTTTTTAGTTGAGAGCCAGTGTGATGCTTCAGTATTGGGCTACAACTTTGGAGAGCAGAGTTTAAATTACCACTGAGCCATAAAAACTCAAAGAAGAGTAAACCCCTTGGAATCAATCTTACTAAGAAAATCTCCTTATAGGTTTGGTATAGGGTCACCATAAGTCAGAAAAGACTTGAAAGCATACAGAACAACAATGAGCTTTTTGTTAGAGTGCTCCATACCACTGGGAAACCTGAAAATGATTTTTTAAAATGATTTTTATTAGTGAATAACATAAATGACATTAAACAAACACTTTTAAAATACACAAATAATTAAAATATCTTATACATACCTTTTTGTTGTTCATTCATTCAGTCGTTTCCAACTCTTCGTGACCTCATGGATCAGCCCACGCCAGAGCTCCCTGTCGGCCATCACCACCCCCAGCTCCTTCAAGGCCAAGCCAGTCACTTCAAGGATACCATCCATCCATCTTGCACTTAGTCGGCACCTCCTCATTTTTCCTTCCATTTTCCCCAGCATAATTGTCTTCTCTAAGCTTTCCTGTCTTCTCATGATGTGGCCAAAGTACTTCATCTTTCCCTATACTATTCTTCCCTCCAGTGAGCAGTTGGGCTTTATTTCCTGAAGTATGGACTGGTTGGATCTTCTGGCGGTCCAAGGCACTCTCAGAACTTTCCTCCAACACCACAGTTCAAAAGCATCTATCTTCCTTCACTCAGCCTTCCCCATGGTCCAGCTCTCACATCCATAGGTGACTATGGGGAATACAATTGCTTTAAGTATGTGGAGCTTCGTTGCCAGTGTGATGTCTCTACTCTTCACTATTTTATTGAGATTGGACATTGCTCTCCTCTCAAGAAGTAAGCGTCTCCTGATTTCCTGGCTGCAGTCTGCATCTGCAGTAATCTTTGTACATCGAAAGTAGGTGAACATCATAAAGAGAAAAGTGGGAGTATAGAGATGAGGGGTGGGGAGGAGGGAGAAGAAAAGGGGAAAAAAGAAAAAAAAAGGCAGGGGTGGAGAGGGGGGAAATGGTGGGTGGAGGGGAGGGGAGAAGATTTCCAGCATCATAACGAACATACACTTATATGTTTTTCCTTGTCACTTCCAGATCGCTTCCCGTGGTACTAATTCTTTTAATACACATGTTCCTAATATATATGTCACTTTGCATATATCTTTAGTCTTAACCGGGATGTTTCTTTATTCTGTTTTTATTATCATTTGTAGTTGTTCTCTTTTTAGAAATTTAATAACTTTGCTCCAATCCGTTCTGTTTGTTCTTGATCTGTTTTGGGCAAGTTTTGGGGTCAAAAGGTCCATATTCATAATATACATTACTTTTTCAATCCAGTTTTCTATTCTTGCTGTTTCTTCTGTTTTCCAGAATCCGGCTATACATATTCTAGCCGCTGTGGTAAGATAAAATAAAATCTTATCTCCATTTTTATCTATTTGAAAGTCTGTAATCTCCAGTGAAAAATACTCAGGTTTAATTTCAAACTTTAGTTCTAAAATTTCCCCCATTTTTTCTATATTTTCAAAAAATTACTGTTAAACATTTTATGGAATTATGAGAAACTGGAATGTATTGGGAGGATGGGATGAAATAACATTATTCCTTGTAAACCTACGTGAGAAGAATAACTAAAAAAACAACATAAAACAAACAAAACATTTGAGAGTTGGAAGTTAAACATCTCTAATAATAAAAGCTGCCCCCTGGTGGGCAACACTGGGGATAGCATTAGCAGTAAATCCTACTTACTTGCGACAAAGTTATATAGACTGCATCTACACTGCCATGTAATGCAGCTTAAACTGCATGAACTGCATTATATAGGTCTAAACTAATAAATAGCTAGGCTAATTGTTCTGAAGGCAGCTGTCTATAATTGTTTGGCATCACTTAAACCAGGGGTCCTCAAACTAAGGCCCGGGGGCCGGATATGGCCCTCCAATGTCATTTACCCGGCCCTCACTCAGGGTCAATGCAAGTCTGAAACAACTTGAAGGCACACAACAACAACCATCCCATCTCATCAGTCAAAAGCAGGTCCACACTACCCATTGAAATACTAAAAAGTTTATATTTGTTAAAATTATTCTTCATTTTAATTATATTATTGTTTTTAAGTGTTTTTTTGCACTACAAATATGTGCAGTGTGCATAGGAATTCATTCATTTTTTTTCCAAATTATAATCTGGCCCTCCAACAGTTTGAGGGACTGTGACCTGGCCCTCTTTTTAAAAGGTTTGAGGACCCCTGATTTAAACTGTTATGGGATCACACTATGAATACTATAATACTAGTAATAAAAAATAATTAAACTTTATTTGTAGCCCTCCCTGTCTCCCTAATGGCATGTGTAGTTTGCTGCGGCACCAGAGCACTTTGTGAGAGGGTGAGTCCCTACAGAATTAAAGCAGCTTGAGTCCATTTTAACTGCCCTGGCTCAATGCTATATAGCAGGGGTGCTCAAATTTTTTAAACAGAGGGCCAGGCCAAAGTCCCTCTAACTGTTGGAGGACCGGATTATAAATTGGAAAAAAAATGAATTCCTATGCACGCTGCACATATCTTATTTGTAGTGCAAAATACACTTAAAAACAATACAATAATTAAAATGAAGAACAATTTTAACAAATATAAACTTCTTAGTATTTCGATGGGAAGTGTGGGCCTGCTTTTGGCTGATATTATAGGATTATTGTTGTTGTGTGCTTTCAATTTACCTGTCCGAACGTATCCTCCCCTATGAGCCATCAAGATTACTAAAATCGTCTGGAGGGGCCCTGCTCTCGATCCCACCGGCCTCACAGGTGCAGCTGGTGGGGACGAGAGACAGAGCCTTCTCGGTGGTGGCCCCTCGACTCTGGAACTCCCTTCGACTGGAGATCAGAACTGCCCCTTCGTTTTTAACGTTCAGGAAACGTGAAAACCTGGCTTTGGGGATTGGCATTCAACGAATGAGCCATGATCCTGTGATATGGATGGATGACGACGAATAATGACTTTGATGACGACTGACCACTGTAATCATATGATTGCATTTTTGCCATTTTAATTGTTTCAATGTTTCAATGTTTTAGTGTGATTTAGAAATATGACGGTCTGTAATATTAATGTTGGAAACCGGCCCGAGTCCCTCGAATGGAGGTGAGAAGACCGGTATACAAAACTACCAAATAATAATCATAATCATAATTTCAAGTTGTTTCAGACTTAGGTTGACCCTGAGTGAGGGGCAGGTAAATGACCTTGGAGGGCCGTATCTGGCCCCCGGGCCTTAGTTTGAGGACCCCTGCTATATAGTCTTATAGTCTTTAGTTGCAACTCCCACGATTCCATGGCACCGAGCCATGAGCTAAAGTGGTGTCAAATGTTGAAACAAGCATGGACAAACTTTGGCCCTCTAAGTGTTTTGGACTTCAACTCCCACAACTCCTAACAGCCTACTGTACCAGCTCCACTGGCTGCCGATCTGCTACCAGGCCCAATTCAAGGTGCTGGCGTTGGCCTATAAAGCCCTAAACGGTTCCGGCCTAAGATACCTATCTGACCGCATCTCAACCTACGAGCCCACCAAGACTTTGATATCGTCTGGGGAGGCCCTGCTCTCGATCCCGCCTACCTCACAGGCACGCCTGGCGGGGACGAGAGACAGGGCCTTCTCGGTGGTGGTCCCTCGGCTGTGGAACACCCTTCCCGTGGACATCAGACTGGCTCCTTCCCTGATGATATTCCACAGGAAATTAAAGACTTGGCTGTTCAAGAAGGTGTTCGAACAAGAAGTGCAATAATTGGTAATGACGACAGGAATTGAACAACGGAAAATGATACTGGATTGTGGTTTAAACGATGAGACGACGTGAATGGCTTTTTGTATTATTGATATTGTTGATGTTTTTGATGATGATGTTTTTGGTTATTGCTAGATTGATATTTTAGATTGTGTCTTGAATTTTGAACCTTGTTCTTTCTATGTTGCACACTGCTGTGAGTCGTGCCTGGGGTGAGAACAGCGGTATAGAAGCAAAGTAAATAAATAAATAAATAAATACTGGCTGTTAGGAATTGTGGGAGTCGAAGTCCAAAACACTTAGAGGGCCAAAGTTTGCCCACGCCTGAGTTAAAATACATCAGAGCTATGTTGCCTATAATTCTGTAGGGCGAAGACAAAAGGAAGAAAGGGCGGAACTATATAGGTCCACCCTCGTTCCACACCGAGCCTCTCACAATGCAGCGCCAACCGCGACTCAGCGCGTCATCAAAGCGCCGGAAGTGGCGCTTTTTCCCCCTCCGGCCCTCGCGTTGCTCGGTTGCCAAGGTTTCCAGGCGGAAGGGAGGAGAGAGGAAGGGCGAGGCGCGAGGCGCGGGCCGGCCAGGGCTGCTCCTCCTCCACCCGGGGCTGGAAGGCGTGAGGCCCCTTCGCCCCCCGGTCGCCATGGCTGTCTCGTCCTGGGCGGGGATGAGCGAACGCGAGAAGGAGGGCTGCCGGGAGCTGCTGGACTTGCTGGACACCGACGACCTCCTGGCCCTCACCGACACTGTCACCACCCGCCTCGTCCAGCCCGAAGACCGCCAAGGTGCCGCCTTAAATTGGGGCCTGCTCACAAGGCAGTGGCCCGCCATCCCTCAACTTTGGCCTCCGGGTTTTTTGGAGCTCAGCTCCCAGATTCCGTGGAGCTGAAGCCCCAAAACCTAATTCTCAAACCTAGATAGACATACAGTTCTTGTGGGTTTTTTCGGGCTATATGGCCATGTTCTAGAGGCATTTCTCCTGACGTTTCGCCTGCATCTATGGCAAGCATCCTCAGAGGTGAGGTCTGAGGACCTCACCCCTGAGGATGCTTGCCATAGATGCAGGCGAAACGTCAGGAGAAATGCCTCTAGAACATGGCCATATAGCCCGAAAAAACCCACAAGAACTGAGTGATTCCAGCCATGAAAGCCTTCGACAATACTAGATAGACATAGTTATAATTTGTGACCTTGTTCTGATTCTTCCCCACTTTATTTCAGCTTTTAAAGAACCAAATAATAAACTTTGGACTTCCGGGTTTTTTGAACTCCAGTTCCCAGAATGCCCGACCTTTGGCTTACTGGGAGTTGAAAATACTCGGAGGCCTGGACTTTGGAAAAAAATTGTTGTCGTACATCACATTTTCTCAAATTCTGCTCCTCCAGTTTTTTGGACTTCAGCTCCTATAATTCCCAACAGCTCGTAAACTGGGTGGTTGTAGGTTTTTCGGACTGTATGGCCATGTTCTAGAAGCATTCTCTCCTGAAGTTTCGCCTGCATCTATGGCAAGCATCCTCAGAGGTTGTGAGGTCTGTTTGTGTATGTATATTTGAAGGACAGACCTCACAACCTCTGAGGATGGCTGCCATTGATGCAGGCAAAATGTCAGGAGAGAATGCTTCTAGAACATGGCCATACATCCCGAAAAACCTACAAACAACACAGGGTTTTTTTTTGTCGTGTCATGAGCGACTTGAGAAACTGCAAGTTGCTTCTGGTGTGAGAGAATTGGCCGTCTGCAAGGATGTTGCCCAGGGGACACCCGGATGATTTGATGTTTCTATCATCCTTGTGGGAGGCTTCTCTCATGTCCCCTCATGAGGAGCTGGAGCTGATAGAGGGAGCTCATCCACTTCTCCCTGGATTTGAATCTGCGACCTGTCAGTCTTCAGTCCTGCCGGCACAGGGGATTAATCCACTGCGCCACTGGGGGCTCCATAAACAACCCAGTGATTCTAGCTATGAAAGCCTTCGGCAATACAGCTCGTAAACTGGCTGGGATTTCTGGGAGCTGAAGTCCAAAACAACTGGAGGAGCAGAGTTTGAGAAATACTGTTGTAGATGAAAGTGGTGACGCAGCTTTTATCCACTGCTTACTTTTATTTCAAGCTCTTAAAGTAAAGGTAAAGGCTTCTTTTGACATTAAGTCTAGTCGTGTCTGACTCGGGGGGGGGGGGGGGGGATATTCATCTCCATTTCTAAGCTGGAGAGTCAGCATTGACCGTAGATGCCTCCAAGGACATATGCGGCCAGCATGACTGCATGGAGCACCGTTACCTTCCCGCTGGAACCTATTTATGTACTCAACACTTGCATGTTTTCAGATTGCTAGGTTGGTAGAAGCTGGGGCTAACAGTGGGAGCTCACCCTGCTCCCTGGTTTTGAACTGCTAACCTTTAGGTCAGCAAGTTTAGCAGCTCAGTAGTTTAACCTTCTGCGCCACCTAAGCTCTTAAGGTGTTTTGCAGCTTCAGCTCCTAGTGAATAATAATAATACTTTATTTGTAACCCTCCATATTTCCCTGAGGGGACTCAGGATGGTTTCCAACAAATGTGACAAAGTGGCAAACATTCAATGCCAAAAACAATAATAATAATAATAAAATTATTTGTAACCCGCCCTCTTTCCTGAAGGGACTCAGGGTGGTTTCCAAAGCAAAAAGAAAACATTCAGTGATACATACAATATAAAAACACAACACTTTAAATAACAACTTAGTAATTGCTTAAAACATAGATAAAAATAGACCCCATGGGGGATTCTAGGCAATCAGGCTTCATAACGTGCATGAACAGTAAATAGTGTTTAAATATGTGGTAGGTAAAGGTGAAGGTTTTCCCTTGACATTAAGTCTAGTCATGTCCGACTGGGAAGTGGTGCTCAACTCAGTTTCTAAGCCGAAGAGCCACCATTTTCCGTACATGCCTTCAAGATCATGTTGCCGGCATGACTGCATGGAGCACTGTTACCTTCCCGCTGGACCTATAGATCTACTTACATTTGCATGTTTTCAAACTGCTAGGTTGGCAGAAGCTGGGGCTAACAATAAGGGCTCACCCCGCTCCCCAGGCTTGAACCTCCTACCTTTTGGTCAGCAAGTTCAGCAGCTCAGTGGTTTAACCCACTGTGCCACCTGAAAGCCTTTCAAACTCTTAGGGCCTGAAATTTATTTCACAAAGTTTCGTGTTTTGCAGCTTCAGCTACTAGTGAATATTAATAATATTAATAATAATAATAATAATAATAATACTTTATTTGTAATCTGCCCTATCTCCCTGAAGGGATTCAGGGTTTCCAACAAATGTGTCAAAGTGGCAAGTAATGCTGAAAACAACAATTATTTATTATTTATTTACAGCTTTTATATTCCGCCCTTCTCACCCTGCAGGGGACTCAGTGCGGATTACAGTGTACACATATATGGCAAACATTCAATGCCAATTTTTGACATACAAACATATACAGACATACACAGAGACTATTTTTTTAACTTTTTCTGGCCGCCAGGGTAGCTGTCACTTTCATCAAAGCTGATGAAGCCCTTCCGCATTCCCCGCATGCTTCCCCACTGGAATGCTTTGCTGGAGTCTTCTTTATGGCCTCATAAATCAGTTAATAATAAAACTTTATTTCTAACCCACCCTCCCTTCCCGCAGGGACGCAGGGCGGCTTCCAGAACAGAAGGTAAACATTCAATGCCACATACAATCATAAAAACAAAACACTCTAAAAATAATAACAACTTAAAACACAGATAAAAATAGACCCCTGAGGGAAGATAGGCAATCAGGCACCATAAAGTGCATGAGCAGTAAATACAATTTATCAGGTATAAAGATATAAAATATAAATATTTCACATTTATTGTATCCCGCTCTTCTCACCCTAAAAGGGGACGTACAGCATGCAAATACAATTAAAACCATACAATTAAACAATTAAAATTAATTAAAATCGCGTAATCCAGATCGTAGTCCAAGGCCTGTCCAATTGTCAATTCCATTAGTCTGTTATCCTTATTGCATTAGTTATTGGTTGAATGTTTGGTCCCATAGCCATGTTGTAAGCTTCTTCCTGAAAGACCGGATGGAGGGAGCTTGCTTGATTTCATTGGGGACGTAGTCCCATAGATGAGGGGCTACCACTGAGAAGGCCCTCTATCTCATCCCCACCAGTCACACTTGCAAAGATGGTGGGATCAAAAAGGCATTGAAAGTATAAAATAGTTTACAGTATCTGACACATGGGGTAGGTGTCCTGTATCTAGGCGAGGATATATAGAGAGAGAGATGTACTAGTCCTCCTCTCCAGGTGCATAAATAAGTTTTTTAAAGCTTTTTTAAGGAGAGGGGGCATTTTAGTTCTTTAGGGAGGGAGTTCCAAAGGCAGGGAGCAATCACGGGGAAGGCCATGGTTGTGGTGACACCTTACTCCCCACCCCCAGTCCAAGCCTTTCTTTTTATGTCGTATCTTTGGGTGGTGATGGGTGCAGTGTATTATATTCACCAACAAATGAGTTTAGAAAAAGATAGAAAATGTATTTCTGTTTGTAGAACCATGTGTTTGTCTAGTGACATAATTAACATACAAAAAGACATCAGTATTTTATTGGTGTTTTGAAACTTCTGAAATTACTTTATTGACTGCTGTATTTTAAGTGCTTTTGATAAATGCTGCCTGGTAGGTATTCAGAAAGGTGCATGCTGAGTTTTGTATGCTGTTGTCTTACAGCCAGTGCCAAATCTTACTGGCACAACAACCACAGCTAACAAAGTTATGTATACACGTGTGTTATTTGTATCTCAGCGCTTCTGTCATAATCTTGTATTAATTTAAGAAAGCTTGCCAAAAAATTGTGTCTTAGTTCTGAATTTGATGACTACCATCTTTTCTTGAATTGCTAGGTTATGTTGTTGATTATCTGACAAGATCTTTGTCAAAGACCACTTGCGAATTAAATATGGTATTGATATGTTAAATTCACATATGTTTCTAGTATGAGGCAATGCGGTCTTTTTCAAGTAAATGAAAATAATATTAACTGTGTCCATATACAAACCTAATGATTATGATGAAATCTCATTGTGGTGGTACCATTATTACATGAATGATGATTTCATACAACTACAAGGTAATCATGGCATTGAAGGAGCTTAAAAAATCAAAGTTTCTTACATAGTCATTATAAATAAATAGGAAATGAAACACTTGAGAAGTGGAGGTCCTAACACATGTTCAGAATCTTATATGGGAGCGTGCACAATCTTGTAGAATCATATAAAGTTGTACTAGTAAAAGCACCTTTACAACATTACATGGTAAAATAGCCTTTCCTCCATTTTTTCCATGACAGCAGCTACTATTAGCTAAGATGCAGTACTCAAATTGGCTTGTGGATAAGTCGAGCTGGGTTTTGGTGATTGTTTTTTTTCCCACTAAAATTTCTAGACTTATATGTGGAATTAGATTTTCTTGGATGAGTAGTAATAAAAAAGGAAAATGCAGTAGTGGCAAAACCTGGCAATTTAAAAATAATTCAAAAATGTTTGTTGATCAATAATGTGTACACTCAGACTTGATAAATAATCTGTACAGTGTAAAGTTAAAGCAACATTTCTGTTTTCACTTTATTTTTAGAAGCCATACATGCCATCTTACTATATAGCCAAAGTGCTGAAGAGCTATTGAAGAGAAAGAAAGTATTTCGAGAGATAATCTTCAAGTACTTGGCAACCAAAGGAGTTATAGTGTCTCCTTCTTCTGAAAAACATCAACTCATTAGTCGCACAAAACTGTACTGGTGTGAAGAGCTGAAAAATTGTGCCTCAGATGAAAAATGTGTAAAACCTAATGAAGAGGTAAGATTTATTGTTTCTGTCTTTTAGAAAATCAAAACATTAGTTTTAACAGTGACATCAAGGGAACCACTGACCGCATAGGGAAGCTGATGAGGAAACACAGCATACACACTATCTACAGACCCACCAAGAAACTCAACAAATGCTACATTCAGCAAAGGACAAGAGGGATCGTCTCACTTCTGCAGGAGTCTACCGTATACCATGCAGCTGTGGACAAATATACATAGGGACCACCAAACGCAGTGCCCAAACACAAATCAAGGACCATGAAAGGCACTGCAGACTACTTCAACCAGAGAAGTTAGCCATAGCGGAGCATCTGATGAACCAACCTGGACACAGCATATTATTTGAGAACACAGAAATGCTGGACCACTCCAACAACCACCATGTCAGACTACACAGAGAAGCCATTGAAATCCACAAGCATGTGGACAATTTCAACAGAAAGGAGGACACCATGAAAATGAACAAAATCTGGCTACCAGTATTAAAAAAAACTCTAGAATTATAACAGCAAAACAACAGAGAGGAAACAATCTGGGACATCTAATCACCTCTCAACAAAAGATTGCCCCAGGCACTGCCAGGCCATCAAATGCTAATCAAGGTGGTCAGTTGAAACATTCACACCTAGCTCCAACAGACAAGAGTTCTTTGTCTCACCCTGGTCATTCCACAGATATATAAACCCATTTTCCTAGTTCCAGCAGACCTCACTACCTCTGAGGCTGCTTGTCATAGATGCAGGCGAAACGTCAGGAGAGAATGCCTCTAGAACATGGCCATATAGCCCGATAAAACCTACAACAACCCAGTGATTCCGGCCATGAAAGCCTTCGACAATACAGCTAAAGTTGTTCTGCTACAGAGGGGCATATACTTCAGTTATAGGTGTGTCGTGTAAAAACATTTTTGCAAAGGAGAACCACAGAACAGTAAAAGTGTTATCTGTTTTCCTCTTTTGTAGAATTAATGCAACTTGACACTACTTTAACCACCACAACCCAATGTTATGAAATTCTCGGATTTAAGGCACCAGCACTCTTTGGCAGAGAAGGCTACAACATTATAAAACTACAGCTCCCTTGATTCTATAACATTGAGCAATGGCAGTTAAAGTGGTATCAAGCTTAATTAATTCTACAGTCTGGATGCATTTATTGTCACCCATGTTATGATGCCTTAGAAGTTTATTTATTCATTTATTTCCTGCATTTATATACCGCTTTTCTCAACCCTAGGGGAATTAAAGCAGTTTCCATCATAATGGCAAAATTCAATGCCGTATATACATTTGAAAACCAAAACATAATAACTAGGCAATGACATAAAACTACACATTAAAAACTTGGGCCATAAATGTCAACATGAGACATACAACTGTTGTGTATGGGTTATATAGAGAGACACAAGGTTTAGAGGAGACAATTTGTCCAAAACATTTGGCTAGAATAATCCAGGGAGCAATAAAAGACTGTTTTTACTTAGAATGGATGAGCTTGAGAATTTAAACTTTTTAGGATAGACATTAGAACAAAGGGCTAAGAGCGTGATCAATTGATTAATGAATAATTCAGATGTTTTCTTTCCTAAATGGGTGTTTTGTGTGCAGTATAGTTTATAAAGCTGGTGCTGTTGTAATTGAGCAATGAATGTCATATGTAGGTTAACAAATGAAACACCATCTGCAAGACACTGTGACTTTTCTTTGAAACAAATACTTATACTGTTTTGAAACCTGGCAGATTTTTTGGAATTCATTAGATTTTTCCATCTAGACATCTAACTTAGCAAACATGCAGAAGGAGAGAGGAGAAGGCACCATCTTTTCAGATGACAATTTTTAAAATGAGCAGCAAAGCGCTGAAGTTGGAGTAGCTGGTAAAGCATCCATGCCATAGAAGGCTGCCAAATCCCATGAAACAGCTCAGTGATGGAGGTTTACACCTGCTCAGAGGACATCAGAGCAGCCCCTTATGAATGTTAAGGAGTACCAAAAGGCCAGACTTCTGACAGAATGGGTGTCCTTGTGGGCCATCCAGTCCAACCCCCTGCCAAGAAGGAGGAAAATCTCATTCAAAGCACCCCTGATAGCCTCTGTTTAAAAGCCTCCAAAGAAGGAACAGTGAGTTCCACTGCTGAACAGCTCTCACAGTTATGAAGTTCTTCCTCCAATTCAGGTGGAATCTCCTTTCCTGTAATTTGAAGCTATTGTTCCACATCCTAGTCTCCAGGGCAGCAGAAAAAAAGCTTGTTCCTCCCTCCCTATGGCTTCTCCTCGCATATTTATACATGGCCATCATGTTTCCTCTCAGCCTTCTCTTCTTCAGGCTAAACATGCCCACTCTTTAAGCTGCTCTTCATAGGGCTTGTTCTCCAGACCCTTGATCATTTTAGTCACCCTCCTCTGGACACATTCCAGCTTGTCAACATCTCCCTTCAATTGTAGTGCCCAGAGTTGGACACAATATTCTAGGTGTGGTCTGACCAAGGCAGAATAGAGGGGTAGCATGACTTCCCTAGATCTAGACATTATATTCCTACTTATGGAGGTCAAATTCCCATTGGCTTTTTTAGCTACTTGTTGTTCACAAGGACTTCCAAGATCTTTGTCACACATCCTGCTATCAAGCCAGGCATCTCCCATTCTGTAGCTTTGCATTTCATTTTTTTTCTGCCTAAGTGGAATATCTTGTATTTGTCCCTATTGAACTTCATTTTGTTAGTTTTGGCCCATCTCTCTAATCTGTTAAGATTATTTTGAATTCTGCGCCTGTCTTCTGGAGTATTAGCTATCCCTCCCAATTTGGTGTTGTCTGCAAACTTGACAATCATGCCTTCTAACCCGTCATCTAAGCCATTAATAAAGATGTAGAACAGAACTGGGCCCAGGACAGAACCCTGCGGCATTCCACTTGTCACTTCTTTCCAGGATGAAGAGGAAGCATTGGTGAGCACCTGTTGGGTTCGTTCACTTAAGCAGTTACAGATCCACCTAACCATAGTTTTGTCTAGCCCACATTTGACTAATTTGTTTGCCAGAAGGTCGTGGGGGACCTTGTTAAAGGTCTTACTGAAATCCACATACGTTAAATCCACAGTGTTCCCTGCATTTACCCATCTTGTAACTCTATTGCAAAAAGACATCAGATTAGTCTGGCAATCATGAAGTACAGAAAGTTAAAATAAGAAGTTGCACAGCTAAAGGAGCTAGTTAGGTCAATGGGAAAAGGAGGCGATGGCAGCCCCAGGAGAGAAGGAAACAGGCTTGGTCCCGCAATCTCAGTTTCACACCATCGCCAGCGGACAAATGGTGAAGAGAGGAGAGGGAAAGGCCACATTTTTTGTGTAGATTGAACCTCAGTCTAGGACTACAGTTTAACACTCAAACCCCTACACCACACCGGCTCACAATAGCTGAGTATCAAATTTTGGTTCATTATACTTCTTGAAACCAATAATAGTCTGTATGTTTCTTATGTTATGTTATACAAGAAGCAATGATGACCAAAACCTGGCGCTATCTAAGACAGAAGAATGGCTTGCAAACATTTTCCTGAGTTGAAAACATGATAAAACTCACAGCTAGAGCTTGAGTGGGGCATGACCTTGAACTGTCACAACAAATAATACAATTGTTTGCTTGAAATAAATATGTATATAACTTTTTTCTTAATAAACTTTCTGGGTAAACTTTGATATATCAGGCTGTAGAAACCATTTCAAATCAAACACTGCATCTGTTTTATTTTGTGTTCATTATATATGCTACTCAATATATATATGAAACTGCTGGGAGAGGTCATCTGGAGTTTTGGAGTGTGGTGCCATTTATATGCAGATGACACCCAGTTTTAAAGGCTAATTTAAGTGTATTTATGATATTTTAATTTGTTTTTACCTTGATCAACACTGTAAAATGTAATTGTTTTTTAACTTTTGTATTGCACTTTTTAAACTATGACGAAAGTGTGAGATTGTTAGCTGCCTTGAGTCCCCACTAGGTATAAATCAAGTTTATAATAATAATAGAATCTTCACGGTCTTTACTGCTCTCTATGCAAATCACCTATCTTGTTACTTCCTAAAATTAAACACCCTAATTTTGTTTTGCAGCAACATGAAGAAGGAGAGAAACAGGAAGGAGACAAACAAGATAATGACAAGGAGTACTACAGTCTGGCAGAGGAGTTTTGTCAGTGGTTCTTTGGCATTCTGAACTCTCAGAACCCATTGATTGGACAGTCCGAAGACGAGTATGGACCACAACACTTTTGGGATGACGCAAAACTAAAGTTTTGTTACCACACTTCAGAAGAGAACATAGAAGAGTATTTCGGTGCAGAATTGGTAAGCCTTCGCTTATTGTCCTTGGTGAAAGAAGAATGCCTCTTTCTGAACCCCAATTTGAATGCTGGTGGCCTGAGGTGCACAGTTTCTCCGCATGGGTTAATTGTGGTGGCAGTAGCTGGTACAGTTCATAGAGATACTTGTTGTTTGGGAATCTTTGAACAAATCTTCGGACTCATCCGCTGTCCGTTCAGGGAAAATACATGGAAAATCAAGTTTGTGAATCTCAAAATTGTTGGTCAGAATGCCATGGAACCTGGGACCGAAATAGAAACACCGTGCATACAATATGAAAAGGAAGAACTCCAGGAATTCTGTGTGCCCAAAGAACTTGCCTTGATTGAACCTCAAAAAAATTGAGCTCTTTCTTTGGAAAACTGAAGAAAGACTGTTTGTGGACATTGAAAAATACAGCACATGAACATAAGTGAGCATTCAAAAACATTGTTTGCTTGTGCTTTGTGAGTCAGATTTTCTGATTGAGGAGCTAAGTAAAAGAATTGCCTAAATTAGGGAGTGACAGCTGATTACTAGTAAGCTGATTCAGTCAATCACATTGCTTCCCAAATGAAAAGTAAGATGGAAGGAAAAATGAGAGGAATGTTCAGATAGTCTTCATGCAGCCACTTCTTTTCCCCACTGTGAGAAGTGTTGGGGTTAGGTGGAAATAAAGAAGCCCAAATGAGAACGATCAAAACCCGGAGATTATTTTGGCAAATTGTGGCTTCTTTCCTTGGAGTGGGAGGAGTTTATAATTTTGGGCCGGGGGGGGGGGGGGTAAACAACACACAATAGAATGTGATCTGTTTGTGGCAATCCAGTTACAGATGAGCTGCAACTTTCATCTACCCTAGGGTTTCCATCTTGAAAATTTTACCTTTAATGGTTGTTAAGGAGATAAATTTTAGAACGTGCTGTTTGTCACTGATAGAGGTAAAACACCTGTTGATATTCCATCCCCTACTTAGTCATTCTGAGGTATAGGAACCCTCCCCAGTTTTTCCTTTGGTAATCCTAATCCATCCCAGGCAACATAGCCAGTGGGTGAAGTCAAAATAGTATCTCAGGGTCCATGATTTGCTCAGATCAGTTTTATAGGGATGAAAGGTTGCCTTTTGTCACAGTTTTGCTGGGGGCATTTTCTCAGAGTGTGTGTCTTCCACTGTAAAAAAATTCCAGTGTGACAAATCACATTGCTATCAGTGCATTACTATTTGTTAGGAAATTGTTTATGCTGGGATTTTTTTACATACACTTCTCACTTTTACTTAAAAAAAGCTTGAATTAAAACTGCCATTGATCTTAATACAATTATTAATTATCTCATTTAAAGTGTTTCTTTTAAAGGGATTTTAAAAGAAAAGTTATTGCAAATATCTCACAGATCCAAAATCTCAGGCTGGCACAAGAGAAAACATTTATAATTTATAAACCAATTTCTGTTCTCTTTTACGAGTTCCAAAACAGGTTAATTTTACTGCCACTGTTAATTAGGTTGAAATTGTGAATTTTCCATGTTTTACTTCTTGTTCAGTACAACTTCTGCTTAATGTGGCTATTCACACACATTCACCCTCTAATCCTTTAGTTAAAGTTAAGGTTAAACTAGAAAACAGAAATATTATGTGTGCTGCTATTGCATCAAACATATTTTGTTGTTGTTTTAATCTAGTGCAAATGCAGTCTTTAAACTAGTTGCTTTGTTAGTTTTCTTAATGTTGGAGTTATTGTGGAGGAAACAATAACTCCATCTGCCAGAGGTGCTTTTACTGCGATATTCCTTCTTCTTGGCAGAGGGTTGGACTGGATATCCCATGAGGTCTTTTCCGACTATTATTCTGTGATTCTGCATTCTGATTTATTCAGTTAAAAATAAACCACAAAAACATCAATTCCCCGTATATTTATTTTTTCTCAATTAATTTCAGCATGTGAGAATCTTTGTTCTTAAAATCTTGAATATGGCTTTTTGAAATTTCACACTCATGAAAAGGTCCTATTTATAGCTTTATCAAAGGAAGAACTACTTTTCAAGCAAGAGTTGCTCTTCTAAAAACAAATGCTTAAGACATACATGTCATTGGAAGACTTCCCTGGAGACTAGGACACGGAACAATGGCTTCAAACTACAAGAGAGGAGATTCCATCTGAACATGAGGAAGAACTTCCTGACTGTGAGAGCTGTTCAGCAGTGGAACTCTCTGCCCCAGAGTGTGGTGGAGGCTCCTTCTTTGGAAGCTTTTAAACAGAGGCTGGATGGCCATTTGTCAGGGGTGCTTTGAATGCAATATTCCTGCTTCTTGGCAGGGGGTTGGACTGGATGGCCCATGAGGTCGCTTCCAACTCTGTGATTCTATGACTTGAAGCAAAATGCCTGCTGAAAAAGAATGGTTTTATTTTGTGAATAGTCTGAATAAAGTGAGTTTATTTGTAATTATACTTTGCTGTCTTTGCCATGGCAAAAAATAAAAATCTCAAGGGCTATAGTTGCCAATCTTTTGTCTAAAGATTTATTAAATTCATTTTAATAGATTTATCAAATAATGCATTTAAGTTATTTATTTCATTCTCACACGTGCAAGGAAAATTTATCATGGCTTTATCTTGATATGAAGTGGTTGAAGTATGACATAGACAACTGCACTAGCAAGTAACTCCCAAGCCTTTTTCATATCTAGAATCATTTAGCATTTGTGTAGAACTTCAGAAAGTTTTGTGTACTATATGCAACCTTCCTGTAATAATCACAACATCTTGTGTAGGGTAGGTCAGCATTATCTTTGCTAGGGTGAGGGTATGGACAAGGCTAATGCTGAGAAGAGATAGTTTTACGAAACCCACTGATAAATTAATAACAGTGAAATTGAAACTACAGTAACCCTGATTCATAGCTCTTAAAACCAACATCATTTTGGAAAAAAGGCTACACTTCAATTTGGTATTTCTAACTCTTAAGAGCAAAGTGTATGTCTGAAATAAATGTCAGCAGAAGTGACTGGCTTGACCTTGAAGGAGCTGGGGGTGGCCACTGCTGACAGAGAGCTCTGGCATGAGCTGGTCCATGAGGTCACAAAGAGTCAGAAGCGACTGAACTAATAAACAACAAACCTACTTCAATTTCTGGGTTTTCCCTATGTTTTTTCCCCTCCATCTGATGTCTTCTGAGGGAGATAGTGTATCACTGTAGTTGTGTAAACACTGGGGGAATTGGTTGGCATTATATAGAGTTTTCATTTCTACAAAGAGAAATTTCTCAGTGTAGAAAACATCCACTAATACCAGAACAGAATAATAATAATATAATACAGTAGAGTCTCGCTTATCCAACATAAACAGGCTGGCAGAAAGCTGGATAAGTGAAAATGTTGGATAATGAGGGATTAAGGAAAAGCCTATTAAACATCAAATTACATTATGATTTTACATGTTAAGCACCAAAACATCACGTATTACAACAAATCAACAGAAAAAGCAGTTCAATACATGGTAACATTATGTAGTAATTACTGTGTTTACGAATTTAGCACCAAAACATTGCAATGTATTGAAACAGCTTTGGATCCGGGCAGGAGGCAGACTATGTTGAATAATACAGAACATTGGATAAGCAAAGGTTGGATAAGTGAGCTTCTACTTTAATAACTTTATTTTTGTATCCTGCCACCATCTCCCTAAAGGGACTCTGGGTACTTTACATGGGGACAAGCCCTGTCAAACATAGAATTAAAACATAGCACAGTAAAATTTATAAAAACAACATCATAATACAACATAAAACATAAAATGGCATCATCAAGCAACCCATAGACTGATATGGTAATCGAATACTAATCTAGATCAGCTTCTCGCCATTCACAATATGGCCAATGTCAAGCAGTATTGAAAGAAACCAAAATTTCTGGAGAGACCACTGTTGTATAAGATTGAAGTAAATTTTAGCTTGTGAATCATGGATAATTTGAGGGATCTACAATTGTTATCCCAATGGTGTGTGTTTACATGTCCCCTTTCAAGCCCACAAAGAGCACCTATTGTGTGGCCCTTATATCATCGCATTTGTGTGATAGACTATACTAATGAGATCTCAAAGCAAATGGAAGATGTTTTATCTTCCTAACAGGCATAGAACTGGCAGATTTGGCTCAATTGCTATTTAAGTAGTGAAAAGAAGAGCTGTTGCCTCTGTCTTATTTTTGCCAGGATCAGTGTTGCTGCCTACTTGAGGCAAGTGAACACGAGACTCTGGCCTGATGTGCATAGTAAACTGCAAGAGTGGATATATCAATATCAGTGTGGGGTAATCATATTTTTCAGTTTGCTTTCAGGAAATGTAATGTGAATAAGAGGCAATCCCATCTCTTACTGTTCTGGCAGTACTTCTGATGGTGTGTGGGAGTCTGTTTCTTCACTTGGAATTCCAAAATAGGGTGGAAAGAGACAAAACGACTTGATTTCTTCTTTCCTTGCAGTCCATATGTTACTCACTCAGTGGAGTACGCCTAAGGCTGGCATCCTAAAACGCATAAAACATTTCAGGTAGGAAAAGAAAACCTCAGAGCCATAGAAAATTTGTGGGACCTACAGCACTAGTGGTTTTGAAAGTATGTACCCTGAATGTGTGGTTATAGAACACCCACAGGGAAAAGCTGTTGATCAAAATGTCTTGGCAATTTTAGATCGTGTATGCATTAATAAAATGTGTGTGAGAAGTATGCTTTGAAATTCACTGATTATTTTTCTCCTTTAAATGTGAATTGCTCCACAATGATAGCCTCTCTTACTACAAATAAAGGCATGTGCGTGCTTTGTGGTAGAAGTATAATCTGCCCATAGGGCAAATTCTTGTTAAATTCATGTGTCGAACTGAAAGGGGAAAGAGGGAAGTTTACTATAAGAGTGAAAAAGAAAGAATGACTGGGGGAAAGTAGATGCTTCCCTTTGGAAGGCAAGAAATGCTGCTGTCGTCAGAGTTCATCAATAATGCAAGTGCTGTATATTTCCTCGAGCTCGATTACCTCTATCAGATGAAACAGTTGGAGACAATCCACCTGCTATTGATACAAATCTGAACCCAACCTTGCTGTTTTTCAAGAGCGGCCCCTCTCTCAAGCTGGTCAATAATGTCAAGCTGTGATGGGGTGGGAAAGTGTGTGTCTGTGTGTGAACCTGTTTTGTTGCTGGGGTGTGCAGAGAAGTGTTATCCATGACAGCTGTCAGAGAGAGAGTTGGCTGACAACAGAATTTCAACTGACTTGTTAACAAACACATTTCTGAGAGTCAGGATCCCTGTAGGCTTAGGAGCTCAGCCTAGAATATAGAGCATTGTGCTGGCAAAAGAATTGCTCTCTTTTCACCTGACGGTGTATCTCAACAATCATGTTGACAGTGAGATTGAAAGAGGAATTGCTTTCTTTCAGCACCTGTCTCCCTATCTTTACATCATCTCCAAGTAAGATATTTCTTTGGCGGCTTGAAGCATGAAGCAAGAACTGGAACAAAAAGTCAATTTTGTTAAGCTAAAGGCAGCAGAAAGATTTCCTGCTGGGAAGGCTAATTTAGTTTAGCCTATCGCCAGACTTTGGAGCCGGATGACACAGGCAGGTATGTGCCTCGGTTGTCTGATTGCTGGGCATGAGGCTGAATGTGTAAATTGCTTCTATCAAAAAGCACTTAACATGGGTGTGATAAGACATAGTCTATAATGGAAGAAGGTCTACAGCAGTGCTATTCAAAGTGGTGGTCCCTGGACAGGTTGTGATTCATGAACCCATTGACTGTTGCTTTTTAGAATTACCAGGGGAAAAAAATAAACAGCTGTAGACAATGGCTGTAAGTGTTGCATTCTAGCACTGGAACATCCCTTTCGCTCAGCACTGCACCAGAGTCCAGCGATTCAAAAAAAAAAGAATGTTTATTAAAGAAAACATATAAAAAGGGAAAGAGGGCAAATCCAAAATATATAGTCAGGATATAAAATGCAATACACAATAGAAGCCAGAGTTCAGTAGCAGTAATCCAAAAATGTGAGGTGAAACACCAAAATCAGGGAATCTAAAATCACAGAATCAATCCAAAGATATCCATGAACATGAAAACAGGAACCTCTCCAAGGTAAGTTCTCCAAAGGTACATAGGCATAACCAGGAGCATGAAACAGGGATCTTGAAAATACAGGAATCATGAGCTTGGAATCATAAACAGGAATCATTAACAGGAGACAGATCTCTTAATAGCAACATTGTCTCTTCTGAAAGGCCTGAAACAAAACCACTTAATTTAAACCTGCTAAGGCATCCATGGCATTATGCATAACACTACTTACCTTCAAGGTTTTATCTGAAATCCTCAGAATATCTAGTTTGCCTGCTTATCACACCCTGCATTTTCAGGTCTAATCTGTACTCCCTTGAAAACGCCTCTGCTTCCCAAGTCCTTTTCTCAAGGGAACTGCTATTTTCATTTTTACCTGGGAATGACCTGAAGAATTCAAAATATCAGCCACATCTGTCTACAGTTCCCCCCGAACACTCACAGATGTCTCATTTTGGAACCCATCAACCCCTTCATCCTCTAAACCAGTGGTTCTCAACCCAGAAAAATCATCTGATGCTTGCCAAACCACAACAGTAAGTATTTTACTAGTCCTTGGATACCTCATTTTCTTTGGATAGATTACTAAAGAGATCAAAAAGAAGAATTATTCTGAGAATGGAAGTTGGGAGACAGAATGAAATAATGAAACAATCTTTCCCATGCCCGCTCAGAAGTAAACCCTATGGTGGGCCTTGCTCCCTAGTACAGTTGCTAGACATTTAATTATCTCTAAGGCTTGGTTGATCAAAAACTTGTTTCGGATGTAGGGGGCGCTGGTGATTTGATTCTAAAGTCACTTCTGAATTTCTCAAAAAAAAAAAAAGATTCAATACTTTCTAAAACTTCTGAAACTTCATAATCTCTTCATTAATGGCAGACACGCATGTGCATGATTAAGACCAATCCTGATTAATCTTGCTATGGTGGTAGAACACATGGACCACTGTTAGCTCACCAAATTTCATAGCCTATGACTTCTCCATGGATTTTTGGCAAATTTTCAAAGTTTTTACAACAAACATTTTTTTAATAATAAAGAAAATCTGTTCCTGGTTTAAAAGTGATATTTCCTGTTTCATTTGGTGGTCTTTACTTTGAAAGTAGTTGTTCTACTCCAGAAACCTCACTTATCGGGGGTATTCCATTTCATGATAAGTGCTGCCGGCTCTGCTTGCCCTCCTGCGACTTGGAGCGCTTGTGCAGCTGCTCCTTCCAGCCCATCCTGTGCAGCTGCTCCTTCCAGCCCACATTTCTAGTATTCTAGTAATTTTTTCATTGATTTAAGTGCTCTGTGCATGCTGCTCCCATATAACCTCATTTGTAGTCATTACAGGAACATGTATATCATAATTAAAAGATGCCTCAAATTTCTAATGAGAGGAATGATGAGAAAAGTTTGTC